GCCTGATTTTTAGGGGATTTTTTTCAGGGTTTTTTTGGTTTTCTGAGAGGCAGAGAGAGCAACAGAGAGAAAAAGAGCTCTCATCCACTGGTTCACTCCAAAGGTCCACATGACTGGACCTAGGCCAAGGCCAAACCTGGAAGTCAAGCCACACAGGTAGCTGAAGCACTGTCATCAGCACTGCAGGAAGCTGCAAGCGGGAGCCAGAGGCAGTCACTGAACCCAGGTACTATGATGTGGATGGGACACAAGTGTCTGAACCACCAAGCACCATGCCCACTCCTGTTATGGTTAATGACCTGGCCTGGATTTCTAAGATGGATTCTTTAAAAAAAAAAAAAAAAAGATTTATTTATTTTTATTGCAAAGGCAGATATTCAGAGAGGAGGAAAGATAAAGAGGGGGATATTCCATTCAATGATTCACGCCCCTAGCAACTGTAATGGCCGGTGCTGCGCCGATCTGAAGCCAGGAGCCAGGAAACTCCTCCCAAGTCTCCCACGCAGGTGCAAGGTCCCAAGGCTTTGGGCCAACCTTGACTGCTTTCCCAGGCCACAAGCAGGGAGCTGGATGGGAAATGGAGCTGCCAGATTAGAACCAGCACCATATGGGATCCTGGCACGTTCAAGGCGAGGACTTCAGCTTCTAGGCCATGGCGCCAGATCCCTAAGACCGATTCTAAAGCATTGTTTCTGAGTGTACCAATAAGGATATTTAACAAAGAAATTAGCAGATGAATCAGGAGACTGAATAATAATTACCCGTCCTCATGAAATGTGAACCAGCACCCATGCAATCATTTAGGCTCAGACAGAACAGGAAGATGGAAGGAGAATTCTCTCTTCTTGAATTAGAATATTCTTCTATTCCTGGGCATTAAAACAACAAAATACTTCTTCACTCCATATCAGAATGCCTGGGTCTGCTTCCCATTTCCCTTCCTTCCGGTGCAAACTCTGGGAGGCAATAGGCTCAAGCACTTGGGTTCCTGGCAATCATGTGGGAAAACAAAATTGAGCTCTATCTGGCATCAGCCTGGGCCAGCTCTGCTGTGTGGGAATCTGGGGAATGGGCCATCAGATGAGACTTCTTTCTGTCTCTCAAATTAAAAAGTAGTAAGTAAGTAAATAAATAAAAATTAACTATATACTTAAAAATCTACTTCAATTAATATTAGACACACTGTATGATTGCAGGAGAGGGCTTTAGAATTAGAGAGAAATGCATTCAAATCAAAATAATTTATTCACAATCCTTGTCAAGTCAGCTTTTCTCAGCTTTGACCCTTTCACCAAAGAAATGAGAATAAAACTACCCCTAACGTTAGCTTTGTATGTAACAGACAAGTCTGTGCATCCAATATTTGGCCCAATGACTGCTAATAGAGCAGCACTCAATCACCCTTAGTTTTCTTCCTAATCTTTCCAACAATGACCCTTCACTCAGCAGTGTGTTGGCTAATGTTTAACTAACTCTGAGAGGGAAACAGCCCAGTCTGTAGAACTGATATGCAGTACCTACTGACTTGCCTAGCCTACCAAGGCCAATCCCAAGATGCAAGGGTGAAGCAACTCCACACAGTTCCAAAGAGACCTACAACAGCATACTAATGCTCCCTTTGCCATCACAGTTTTATTTTCTCCAAAAGCCACTTCCGTAAATTTTTTTCTTTAATTGTTTAGGCATTTATGTCTCTCCTAACAAAAATAGAAGCAATATGGAAGGCAGGTATTTTGTACACGCTCTACAGAATCCTCAGAAAATATATAACCCAAATAACTAGGAAACTGGCAAGAATTTTAAAAGACTAATTCAAACAAAACAGCCACATCTTCAGTTTTAGTAGCCTACCTTTTGTTTGGAAATGGAAGTAAAGATAAACATGATCAACAACCCCTATGTGATGGGACAGTCAGGGGTCAGGAGCAGGGAGGTTGGCCGTAGCACTCTTGACATCAAGTTAAGCAACCACTTGAAATGATGTAGGCATCCTATTAATGTGGACTGGAGTTCCAGGTGCTCCACTCCAATCTAACTTCCTGCTAATATGCAAGGGAAAGCAGCAGAAGATGGTGCAAAGACCTAGGACCTGCCACCCACATGAGAGATGCAGATGGAGTGCCTGGGACCTGGCCAGTCCAGCTTAGCGCCAGCTGTTACGGGCATATGGGAGTGATACATTGGACACAAGACCTTTTTCCTTCTCTAACATTGCCTTTCAAATAAATAAATCTATCTTTAAAAAATACTACATAATTTAAATTGTAACTGTAAAGCAATTTTGCTATATCCTCTGGCTCAGTTAATAAAAATAGGCTTGAGCTTGCTTAGTGATGTAGCAGGTAAAGCTGCTACCTGAAACACTGGCATGATATATGGGGGTCCAGTTCAAGCCTCAAGTGCTCCACTTTCAATCCATCTCCCTGCCAATATGCCTGGGGAACCAGCAAAAGATGGCCCAAGTCCTTGGGACCCTGCCACCTACACGGAAGACCAGAACAAGCTCTTGGTCCTTGGCTTCCAATCAGTCCAGATCCAGCCATTGCAGCCTTTGGGGAGTGAATCAGCAGATGGAATATCTCTCTGACTTTCCACGCTCTCTCTGTAAATTCTTTCAAATAAATGAGTAAATCCTAAAAAACTGTATAAAATTTAAAAAAAAAAAATTTTTAAAAAAAGCATGCTAGGCACATATGACTAGGACAGGGAGTTGGAAAGGAATAAATGAGCTGAGACACTTTCCCACTCCACTCCCTTGTATGACAATTTAGTGCACCCACTTTCTCATGATGCATCTGCATTGCATCCAAGCCTGGGAAGGAACAGATGCCAGGATGACCATGTAGAAATTAGACTCCAGGGGCTAGGGCTGTAGCATACTAGGTAAAGTCTTAGCCTGCAATGTCAGCACCCCATGTAGGTTCCAGTTCAAGTTCCAGCTGCTCCACTTCCAGTCCAGTTCCCTAGTAACAGCCTAGGAGAAGAAGCAGAAGATGGCCCACATACTTGGGTTCCCACCACCTCTTTAGGAGCCCTGGAGTAAGCTCATGGCTTTGGCCTAGCCCAGCCATTTTTGATTTTTGGGAATGAACCTGCAAAAGGAAGCTCCCAATGGCACAAGTGTGCGTTCTCTCTCTCTCTTCCTTCAGTGTTACATCTGAGTGCGCACTCCCTCTATCTCATTCTTTCAAATAAGCAAATAACTTATTTTCTAAAAAAAAAAGTTCAACTCTACACAAAGATGCCATAAAATTTCCAAAAAACCTTAAGCACATGAAGACTTGCTCAAGCTCTACCCAATTTGTACATTCAGTTAAAGAACCACGTCTACCCCACAAAGGGAGGGTAGAGACTTCTTGTCAGTTACTGTGCCCCTGTCCCAGCATCTCCCCTTTTCGTTGTGAAATACCTATCCTCAAATGGTAGGTATTTCTTGCTAGATGTGAATTTATTTTCTGTATCACAGTATTTATGCCTCTGTTTTGAATTCTCATCTCATGTGGAAGCAGGAATTTTCAATAAACCAGAAAACACAGTCCCATAATACAAGAATTTCCATATAAAGGACAATGGCATCAGATTCCCTCCAAGTTCCTGGTATGTCAGGAAGAACAGGTTATCAAACATGTTAACCCTATTCTGACCTGATTGATTCCAAACCCCTCCAAGCAGAACTTGCCTTGTCAGCACTTCTGTACATCTGCTGCCTCCTATCTAAACCAATAACCTTTCCCCAACATGCTGTCGTTCTCAGCCAGGAAGGCGGGTTTCAGTCGTGGTTCTGCTCCCACAATGACCAGAATAAAGCCCTTCCCCTCTCAAAAACCACATCACAGAATGAGACAGGAAGCAAAAGACAGTGAATCTACCTCGTTCCAGGACAACATTTACATGGAGAAATCCAGTTGATACACCATGCTGGTGTAACCTTGGAAAGAAAGATAATCTCGTCATCCTTAAGAGCTTAGGGCAACGGCCCAGTGTGGTAGCCTAGTGGCACGCACCAGGATCCCATATGGGTGCTGTTTCTAACCCCAGCAGCAGTACTTCCTACCCAGCTTCCTGCTTGTAGCCTGCGAAAGCCACAGAGGATGGTCCCAAGCCTTGGGACCCTGCACCAGTATGGGAGATCCAGAAGAGGCTCTGGGATCCTGGCTTCGGATTCGTGCAGCTCTGGCCATTGCAACTACTTGGGGAGTGAATCAACAGATAGAAGATCTTCCTCTCTGTCTCTCCTCCTCTCTGTATATATATATTCCAAAAGGCAGATATACAGAGAGGAGGAGAGACAGAGAGGAAGATCTTCCGTCCGATGATTCACTCCCCAAGTGAGCGCAACAGCCGATGCTATGCCTATCTGAAGCCAGGAGCCTCCTCCGGGTCTCCCGCGCAGGTGCAGGGTTCCAAAGCCTTGGGTCATCCTCTACTGCTTTCCCAGGCCACAGGCAGGGAGCTGGATGGGAAGCAGGGCTGCGGGACCAGAACCGGCACCCATATGGGATCCCGGGCATGCAAGGCAAGGACTTTAACCACTGTACCATCGCGCCGGGCCCTAAATAAATAAATCTTTATTAAAAAGTAGCTTGGGGCAGGAATATGGCCTAGAAGTTGGAGTGCCCATAACCCTTACTGGAATAGCTGGATTCAAGTCCCAGCTCTATTCCTGATTCCACTTCCTGACAATGACATCCTGGGAAGTAGCAGGTGATAGGCAGTAATTCTGTACCTGCCACTCACTTTCAAGACTTGGATGGGGCTTCCAGGTCCCTGCTTCCGCCTGGGCCAGCCTCAGCCATTAGGGACATTTGGGGAGTGAAGCACTCATTCTCTTCCTCTCTCTGCCTCTCAAATAAACACAACAAATTTAATTAATAGGACAGTTGTCTGTAATTACAGAAAAGGAAACAAATACTGCTGTTAATACAGATGAATTGTCATCTTTGTATGTTTTAGGCATTCAGCACATTGGCACAGCCTCCCATCCCTGGAATTTACTTTACCTGCATGAATTAACATCTGCAAACATTCTACAGAGTTGTGGTAAGCTGCTTCATGAATTGGCATCCATCCCCTATTATCAGCAACATCGACACTGCGACCCTTTCTGAGTAGTTTCCTCAATAATTTAATATTGCCTTCCCTGGCAGCAAGTCCAACTGTAGAACATGTGTCCGAGTAAGCCTCTGTAAAATCCATTCTTTGGACCAGTCTGAAAACAAGACAGAAAGATAATACTTTAGTCAGTAAAATGCCATTGTACCCTGAGAAACTAACACATCAGTGGACCTGTCTAGCAACTCCCACACGACTGGAAAAGAAGAGCCCAAAGCAGGAAAAGGGAACTACCATGCCATGACACCTGCCAGAGTTAGATCAGGAAGTCTTTCAGTATGGCAAATTAGGACTCCTTGGAATGTTCTTTAAAGCAGCAAAGGAGTGTTAAGTATTTATCTTTCCTCCTCTGGAAATGTTTAATCAGCTCTTTCTAGCAGGTTTCTGTCCCTGTTCACCTTTCACCAAAGTACATTCTTTGGCACTCCACTGACAAGAAGCTGAAGGCCTCAGCTGATCTCCAAGGCACACTGTGTTACATACAGGCTGATCTGCCAGCAAAACTCAGCCTCCACAGCACAGCCTTCCACAGGCAAAAGCTAAACCTAAAAGACTATGAAGAGTAAAAGACATGTATTGAGAATAAAGATACACAGTTGTTCTAGTTATCCTGCACTTGCTGGTCCTTTCAGGATTGCAATAAACATGCAGATTCTCCATCCTTAATGAAATAGCCCCAATGACTAAATACACTGTAATCAAGCAACTACACCCATAAAGAGATGGGCTCTGTTTTCCTTTTTACTCAGTTAAAAAAAAATAGTTCCTCACAGCAGTTCTGCCCTTGTCATCCTCTCCTTCAAAGCTATTTCAAATTCCCTGGCAACCAGCGTCCAGTATAGTTCTCAGCACACGCCTGCCTCACAAAGCTAATTTCTTGTTATTAACACCATGAAACCAGTTGAGTGGAGATTCAGAATTCTCATGTAAAGTCACTCCTTAACAGAAAGTCCTTCTCAGTAACACGCCCAGGCCACTCCTCTTAGTTTTTCCAACAATCTTATGAGCTGGTTCAGGAAATGTCAACATATATGCCAAATACAGCTGAAAAGCATTGTAGATCTATTTTAAATAAGCTATAAAAAAAAAGTTTGAGGAAAAAGATTGGAAGAACCATATGCCATTACCTAAAGTAAATAAACCCTTGTTCACTTTTAAACATAGCACTATAATTAAATATACTGATTGGACAGCAAACCAAATGATTAATGTTACCTATGGATTATTCTAACAATACCAAGTAGTCCATTACTAGGTTGAAACATTGGTTATCAAACTATTAATTATTCAACTAGCTACTATTGAGCACCAACTTAAATGATTAGCAATGGGGAGTCCACAAAGATGACAAAGGTATAGATTCTACCTTAAGCTGTGTGCAGTCTCATGGAAATGATAAATACAAGTGACATAAAATAGAAAAGAGAAAGTACTGGGGACTGGCGCTTTGGTGAAGGTAAAGCTGCCTGCAACACAGGCATCCCATATGGGATGACCCAGCTGCTCCACTTCTGACCCAGCTCCGTACTAATGTGCCTCGGAAAGCAGCAGCAGATGGCCCAAGTACTTGGGCTCCTGAGACCTGGACGAAGCTCCCGGCTCCTGGCTTCATTCAGATCAGACCAGTACAGTCAAAGCAGCCATTTGGGAAATGAACTAGCTGATGAAAGATCTCTCCCTCTTCTCTCCAGTTCCCTCTCTGGCTCACCCTCTGTCTCTCTGAAGACTCAGATAAATACATAAATCTTTAGAAAAAAATAGAAACTACCATAAGAGAAGAACATATGAGGAGTCACAGAATCCAAAGGAGAAACTGTTTCAGTTCAGAAAAGGATGTGTACTGTTCATTAAAGGACAGGGAAGATTCAAAAATCAGACCTCGATCGGGACAGAGTTCCTAGGCAGAAGGAAAGACATAATCAAAACCATGGCGATAAACAAGCAAAGGTGAGAGCAGCAAGAAAATCAATCTGTCAATTAAGTAAATAAAGAACAGAAGGAAAACGAGGTTACAGAGTAGAGGGAGGCCAAATAGTGAAGGACTATAAATAATAAAGTATACTTTTGGATCCTACTAACTTGTAGCTAAGAAAATTGCACATAAGTTTTGCAAAGGAGCAAATTATACACTTTGCTTCAACTTAGGAATATTTAATACAAGAAATATTTCTATGTAGAAAACACGTATACACACCAGCACAGGAATACCTAAAAACACTTAAAACACCATCCAGGTATAATCCCCTTTTCAATTTTACTTGTTTTTCTCTTAGTTATAAAGAATGTTCATGAATCCAAAGTAATAGGCAACAGCCTGGAAAAATTCAGGACGAGCAATATTTTTTAACTTAATGGAAGAAGGGATTAAAAGAAATGCACTGTAACAGGGAGATATTCAAATCCTATTAACAACTAATAAACATAAATCCCTAAGATTTTTCCTTTTACAAAAACCTTCTTGTGTTCTAAAAGATGTCAGAGTCAAACAAGCAAATTAAACAATTGTATCTCAGATTGGTGGGAGAAAGGGTGAAATTTAGTAACGCAATAAACATTTGATTTATGAAATTACTGATTTTATTAGTGATACTGGCATTGTGGTCATTAGAAAAACACCCTTACTAGTAAAAGATGTATGTAGAAGTGTACACCAATAAAATGCAACACATGCAACTTCAGATGTTCTTGGTTTTAAAAGTATATAGAGAGAAGGGGCCAGCACTGTGGCCTAGCTCATAAAGCTGCCACATGCAGTGATGGCATGGCATATTGGTGCCGGTCTGAGCCTGGCTGCTCCACCTCCACCCCAGCTCCATGCTCACCACCCTGGGAAGGAAAGGCAAGATGGCCCATGAGGGACACTTGCAAGCAGCTCCAGGCTCAGACTGGCCCAGCTCCAATGCTGTGGCAATATGGGGAGTGAACCAGTGGATGGAAGACCTCTCTTTATTTCTGCCTTCAAGTGAATAAACAAATCTTGAGAATTAAAAATGTAAATGTTTGTGTATGTAGGAGTACAGACCAAAAGAGAGTTAAGCAACTGTGGCAATATATGAATTATTATATCTATAAAGGGTTTAATAATTGTGATTACAATCTCTTTTTCTAACTTTTCTGTATGTTTGGAAGTATGGCAGATTATGTGAGACTACAACTTACAGAAAATATGAGAAGGCCAGGTTACTTTTCACTAAGTTTTTCTTTGTAGCAGCTTCCTTCTGATAGCTTTTTACAGGTATAAACTGTACCCTCCGACCTTCAATGTTTTAGATAGGTAAAGATCGCGGAACAAATCTTCAAGAAAGAACAAGCCCTTTGTGAAGCTTGATTTCGCATTACACCAACGTAGCCAGGATGATCCAAATGAGCTTCCTAACTTTAGGAGCAATGGCTCTGACGAGCAGATCTTACTCCCTTTAGAACTTCTTAGAGAAACTCAGGGGTGATAAAACAAAAAGTCCTCCCTCCCGGAAAAAAAGCAAATACATCCCAAACTTTGCACACAATTTCACTAAGTTCTCCAGCTCATATAGCTAAGACCCAAGAACTTTAATCGCTCTTTTCTGACTTACTGAGGATACTAAAGATGAGCAAGGTATTGCACACAGAACTTAAATTTGAAACATTTTCCGGCAAAGTAAGCTGCTTTTTGATATGCGTAAGACTTCCGTAAATTTTCTATTACTTGAAGGTAAAGGGGTTAAGGAAAGAAAGGTACAAAAAGTCACATGTGAGCACATTTTCAAATCGAGCCCTTCCGTTTCCTACAGAAAACCCCAATTCTTGAACAGGAACAAACGTGTTTCCACCGGCTACGGAGCTGCCGCTGAGTGTCTTCTATTTGGACAGCAGCACTCCAACCCCTGCCCTTCGCGACTTCCCCCTGCTGACGCACAAAGGCGCACAGCCAATGGCACAGCCACGGATTCCCCGAACGGGGCTGTGGGTATTGTAGTCCTGCTCACACGCGCATATGAAGAAGGTTGCGGTGATTTAAAGGGGCCGCAGAAGACTCCGTTGCTTAGTATACAGAACATCAGTGCTTTCTGATCCTTAGCAAAAAAATAAGACGAAGCTTACTGAAACAGAGTCGGAAGACGTTCCTTGAACTACAATCCCAGAGTGCCTTGCGCCCCAGCAGCTGTGTGGCCACCGCGCCTGCGCCCGGTGCAGCCGGTTACTCGCGTCCAGAGGCTGCAGTGTCCGGTGGGTCGCAGAGACCTCGGCCAAGGATCGACTGTCACTGCGACAGGGGCGCGAGGAAAAGATGTGGGTTTTTGGTTACGGGTCCCTGATCTGGAAGGTGGACTTTCCCTACCAGGACAAGCTGGTTGGATACATCACAGACTACAGCAGGCGCTTCTGGCAGGGCAGCACGGACCACCGTGGGGTCCCCGGCAAGGTGAGGCACTAGCCAGATCCCCCCACTTGATGCCCCGAGTGCGTCCCCCTCCTCCGGGCCCAGGGCTCGGGACCCACACCCCCTGCACTCCTGGTGGCCGATCACGTGGGCTGGGGGCTAACGTAGCCGCGGGCATCTCCCTCGGCCACCCGCCCTGCACCCCTCCCAAGACCCTTAAGATGCCAGCGGCTAGTTTATTGAGGGAGACAGAAGACACAGAACAAGGCTCATGTTCTGGGAGGGGACTCCAACTGTTGGCAGCCTCTGCCAATTAAAAAAAGAAAGAAAGAAAAAGAAAAAAAAAAACTGGCCGTGAGATGGTTTTCGTGTTACTTAAGTGAACTATTAAGATCAACTTGCAAATTCAGCGTCTTAGCAATTACATTTGTTGGCAAGTCTGCATGCTGGCCAACTTTGATTAGTTTCAATTTAAACATGCTTGTTACTTCCAGCATTTCAGTGTATCTTTCTAAAGATGTTATTTTATAACACCTAAAAGTTAATGGAAGAACGGCTTCCAAAATGCTCTCGGATTGCTAAACTCACTCTGGTCGCTTGTGTTGTCAGATATTAACGTAGCTGAATGAAGTTCCTGGCCTGTTACAAGAGTAACACAGTGCCACACCAACATTATTTTAATATCCTTTCTCCAAGATTTTCTAAAATCAGAAATGTGACCTGTAAATTCTTTGATACGGTTTTCAGTCATTCGTACTTTGTATGACATTTTTCTCAAACAAGTGGTCCAAAAAATTAGTAGCAGTTTATTGCTTATGCACATCAACTTTGTACTGATTACAAAACAAACCGTAAAGAAACTCAAACTTGTGGTAATTAAGAATTTTGACAACTTATTTAAGCTCCTTTCAGAGAAGTAAGATTTTTTTCTTATTGCTTGTATGTCTCTAACATATTCCAAGGATTTACATGTACTTCGTTAGTCGTTTTAGAAAAGAAATTAATACTGGCCCAAAAATACCATCTAAAATGCTAGCAATTAGCAGGAAGAAAAAGGGCTAATTCCAAAGACAACGCCTGCAGTCATGCAAAGGGGAAGAAGTAAAAAGTCTGTAAAATACTTGGAACATACTCATAAAGAGAATTAAACTATGAGTTAGAAACCATTCTGCCTCACCTACAGTTGGTCAAGAAAGAATTTGGCTTTAGGGCAGTCACTTGCCCACTGGGATGTGGATAGATGAAATGACTTGAAAAGGGGATGTTGGGGATATTGACTTAGGGCAAATGCACATTGTCAGTTATCTTCCAGATTAAGAACTAAACTAAAATGACTTTTATCTGTTTTGATAGAGGCCATTCTTAAAAGAAAAACCTTAGCCCAGGTTCCAATTTCAATGACTAGTAAATATTTATGTATATGGTTATAAAAGCACATTTTACTACTGTAGTCTTAACCAAAATATGTTTATTACATAGAACACTGAGAGGTGCATGCTTCAAGAAAGACTGATTTAAAAAAAAAAAAAAACTGTCAACATGACAGTACAGGATTCTTTCAAAGGAGAAGGGAACCTAAAAGCTAGTACGTCTGTATTTTACTGATGTATTAGAATGGAAATTTAGAGAGGAAATGTACATTGGCTGTTTTACACCTAAGTTTGGTTCAAAGAATCCACCCAAGAAAATTAACGGAAAACTTAAATACTAAACATTTTTACTGTTCGATTACCAAAAAAAAAATTTTTTTTTACTTCACATTAAATGCAATCCTAACCTTATATAAATAATAACTGTTTTGACAAACAAAAGGTTCCTAGAATTGCTGACACATTAGAGGAAAGACTCAGATACAAGTCAGGATATATTTTTAAAAACACCTGTTTGTTTACAACATACCTCAGTAGTAAGTTAGTAATC